AATCTTATTCAACAAGAAAACATTAGACGCTGAACAAATAGAGTCATCAGTCGCACTACAAAGTGGCTGTGTTCAAAGACTCACTGTTACTCTCACATGTTGGAGCCTGTCTCATTTCTATGCAGGGGGAGTGATGTTCTACTAAACACTGTGCAGGTTTGACGTCCCAGCTGGCATTTGTACAATCAATGTTCCTTTAAAGCTGGGGACTTGTGACGCTTTAGTATCTATTGTCATTTCCCGCAGTTCTCAGGTTCTTTCCTCCCTCAGCATCAAAGCTGGGCCACATTAATGCAGACAATATCCCTACTTACCTGAGGCGGCAGGCGGAGAATGTGCTTTCACGGTTCTCCCTGGAGTGTCATGTTATTCCTCTCTTCCTTCCTCTGTCAGCGTCGGCACACCAGGGCTTGTCATTTGGTTCTTGAATTTTTCATGTAGGTGCATTTGCATGATCACAGTCCTGTGTCACTTGAACTTCCTGGTGACTCAGGTGAGGCTGAGCAGGAGTGAGACAAGTGTGCTTGTTTGGGATTGTCAATGCAAGAGCTGTCTTGTTCCAAGGGGTGGCACTTAATTTTAACAGTTAGGCAATTAGACACGAGAGACTTAAGAAGACAACCTCAAAGAGTCAGTTTATATTTGCCACTCATGTTTACATTTGCTGCTATACATCTGAGTCACTCATATTCTGTGGCAAGTCACTCATACTCTGTGGCAACCAATGACGGCTTATTTCACTTGGAAACACAACAAAACAGGAGCATCTGCTTGTTATAGTTGTGTGCACTTTTCCACATGTGAACCAAAGTTACAAGTGATATTCATTACGACAGGAAAACCAGCCTGTATCTGGTTTAATTACTTACCCGTCTGTCTCCAAACACTCACAGATCATAACAGAGACTAAAGATTAATCCTTTGAGCTGTGGTTCACGTTCACAGATTTCAATTAAATATAGAAATAAATATGAATCTGGCAGAGTGAATCTCTTTTCAGTAACAAAACCATAATCCCCATGATTGCCAGGAGACGAGCTAATGATTGAGTGTTTTAATGAATTAAAATCTTTATTCATGCCTCATTTCTATTATAATGCTTGGTTCAATGTGTTATTAGAAATCATGATTTTTAAAGGAGGCCTGTGTTGGATAGTAACCTCGAGCAGTGTCAGTTCTACACCTGACTGTTTGGAACGGGCTGTTTACTTGGCCTGTGGTGATGCTGGTTGCAGCTTTTCTTTCTGAAACTGTAAATGTGACCTGCAGTAATTGAACCGTGGCAAAGTAAAGACCAGCTGCAAGATTTAGTCTGGAGAAACTTGATGCCTTGCTAAAGCACAAAGGGCTGTTCACCTGTTTATTTAAAGTTCAGTGAAGCTTGAGTCGGTACATGGATTCTGTAGAATCAGTTGTCGTTGCCCTTGTTGTGAATGTACCCATTGTCATGATAGACAACAGTCCCGGCCTCTGCTTCTATAGAGGGCTGGTTGCGTGGTTCTTCAAATTTTACTCATTTTGAACATATTGGGTGTCCACATAATACCAAATTGGACACTGGGCCCTTAATAATACACCTGCCAAGTGTGAAGCTGATAAAATGAATGGTTCTTAAGATATGATACAGAGAGATTTCTGGAATTAGGAGATACATCCCCCTATTCCATTCTAGCTATATCATTTAAAATATACAAAATAGAACCATATTATGGTAGCAGTAATTTGCATTATGTAAATGAAGTCCTTAAAGTCATGGTTTGTGAACTTTCACACGTCCAATAAAGTTCATAATGACAGAGGGAAAATAATAATGGCAGCAGATGAAATGACTAAGTGAAACATGACTTTTTATTTATTGTCAATGCAGGAGACATTGTCATTGGTGACATGATGGAGTGCTCGGTTGGGATTTGCCTTAAAATGCTCTTAGACCTTTTAATCTATCATTAGTGGCACAGACAACAAACACTTAAAAGAGGAGAGATACAGGCTGCACTTCAGACCTGGAAAAGACAGACCAACAGCAGACACGGTCAAAACGTGGTGGAACATGCCTGTGTGGAGCGTGCAGGCAACTGGAAGTGTCTGGGGCCAAATTACACACATCTGATGATGAAAGAGGGGAAAGTTAGAGGATGGTCCTTTTGAGTTACCAGTGTCTTCAGAGAGAGCTGTGCTGATTTGACTTTCTACTAAATTTTTGCCTTTTGGCCTGAGGAAAAAGGTCCAGACTCCTGTCGTCGATGCATGATGTACGTGTGTGTGTGTGTGTGTGTGTGTGTGTGAGAGAGAAAGAGGCTTATTCTTAGATACCATGTGTCATTCTGTGTCTGAATAAGAAACAGGGGGCAGGCAGATGTTGTGTGTTACGTACCAGTCTACTGCCTCTAAAATATTGTTCATCTTAATGAGAGGCAGTTTTCATAGGTCAAGGAACAGCCTAATCATGCTTTGTCAATTGCATCTTTTCTCTTTGGGTGTGTGTGTGTGTGTGTGTGTGTGTGTGTGTGTGTGTATGTGTGTGTGTGTGTGAGAGAGCGAGCAAGTGAGCAGATGAACCAACATTTGTCCGACTGAAACACAGTGCCAGTCCTCATATTTCTTCATTTTCCGCCCCTCACCCTGTGCTCCAAAATCTGGCTGGACACTTAAGTACATTAGCCACACAATATGGAGTTGTTTTGTCTCCCCAGCAGAGCAGATGTCAAACGTGCGTCTTTGTGCGTTTTTTTTTTTTTACTTCCATCCAGTTCTCAAAGTTCCCACTGAGAAGTAAGGCATCAGAATGAGCTGTAAATAATAGATGATCTTCCAATGGATTATTGCAGACATACAAAACAAGGGGAGGGTATCAGGTTCTCTATTTATAAAATCAACCATCCAAAATGTCAATGTTAAAAACTACAATAAAAAGATGATTATCCTATTACAGTGTCATTTGAACCATCATTCTGCAACAGGGTTTGTTTGTGTGTGTGTGTGTGTGTGTGTGTGTGTATGGTTTGTATTATTGTCATTTTGGACTCTATATAATTAATTGTGTACAATTGTCTTCTTCTTATTAATAATATATTACAAATGAGTGTTTTACCTTGTCCAGTGTTTGTTATCCAGCATTTGCAAAGCTCAAGTTCAATTTATCAAGTCATTCAAAAGTTATCATCAAAAGGTTTTGGCGTTTTATTTCCCTTGGAAATACAGTAGCAATGGTTGTAATCAAATCAAATGACAAACAATAAATTGTCAAGTTTTTATTTTGGAATTTGACCTAGAATAATACACAATCACACAAATTGTGTGGATTATCTCATTGGGCTTGCTTTTTGATTTGCACTTCAGTCTATACAATAGTCCCAGTGTACATCTGATTACTTCTGTAGAGTACAAATTTAATTTGGCCTCGTACAATAGACTAACATGATACAAATTAATTCGACACCTTATTTATATGATCCAAAACCACAATGGAGTCTATTGGAGACAAGGCTGTGTTACCTGAGGATGATTCCTTCAGTGATGCACAAATTCAACCCTTGAATGTAATGCCCCAATTTTCGTTTAATTAAATTAAATATATTGTCAGTGCAAGTACTTGCTTTTATTCATGATTTTCATGACTTGTCTACTTATGTGGGTATTTTCTCCCTCTCTTTAAAGTAAGATGGATCTCAGGCCCTAAATATCTTGCATAAGTAAATGAGTAGATACATTTGCACAATAAACAAATCAATGTCTGAGTGGTTATCAGAAGATTTCTACAAAATAAACTAAGCAATAAGTGATTAGGTGTGTAATGGCAAAGGAACTCTTCCTCCACATCCAAAGCATTGGATGATTATGAATTCTTTCATATATAGATATTCATAATTTAGAAACCATGGCTTTGACCCACGGTGGTCTGGACTTGGTAGTCATTGCTCAAGTTGGTCTTGATCTTAGTTTGTAGTCAGCTAAAATGTGCCTCTGATGAGAGCCCAGTGGGAGGCATGAGATGATTCAAGAAGTCACAACCAGGGCAATTCAGACGAACCGACAAGCAATATGGATACAAATTCAACATATGTTAAATCTACTGAAATAGCAGGGATGGATGGATGAACCACCAGAGCCGTGTGTGATCACAGCAAACTATGCACATGCACTCAAATTATTTTATTAGTCTATGGATCCTGTTGTGATAAAAACATGCTGTAAATATTTTAAATAACAACTTGTCAGTTTAAAAATACAAACAGACAGAAATATGACTTAATGATGGAACTATTTACTGTAGCTGTAAGATTAAATCAAGTTCAAACCAAGGACCAAAAGACAACACTTTAAGATATAATCCCCTGTCGGGGCCCACCGTTGACACTAACACGATATGAATACAGAATGAGAAGATTCTAAAGGTTTGAAAAAAACGTGTCATTCTTCTCCTTAAAGCTGCTTTTGAACATGCACTGGACTCTGGAGACTCTTCTCATGTGGTACATGTGTGAACGCAGATGTCTGAGCTGGAGTATCAATCAATCAATCAACCCCTTCAGCTCGTTCTAGGATTCACCGCACCTCCACACCTCCTCATCCCTTATACCCTTACTCTCCAATCTCCTCACCAGCTGTTGGTACCTATGGCAGGACTTGAGACAGAGGTGGCTTTTAATGTCAGGGCTGCACAACTGTATCCATCAGACATACTTTTCCTTTAATGGCTTTCAATAAGACATGTTATTCACTGTCTCTTGTTTGCATCCTCAGTTTTTTTGTCCCTGGAGCACTTGTAAACTTGTTTTAAAAGTGCTATATTAAAAATTATTATTATTATTACCATTAAACTTACATACGCTTATATTTTACAGTTGCATGCACACGCCCTGGCCCCCTGCAGTAGAAGCACAAACTTTTGCACACAGTTTGACTTAAATTAAAAAATCCCACAGGATTCCTCGTGGCCCCTGAACCCACCATTGAAAAACAGCGCACCGGCTCACACTGCCGTACACGGGTTCCGGCTGTCGCGAAATGACGTAAAACGTAAAACAGCGGGCTCGTTTGAAAGGAAGAAAGCGTCTCGGTAGTTATTGACAACGGTCACTGGCAAAGTTTGTGTTTGTGTTCGCGGAAGTGAAAACAAGATGGAATAAATAAGGTTGTCGGTTCCACATCCTCGGTGCGACGCGTCGTGACGTTGACCGGGACGTGACGCTGGAAGCTGCCGACAGACGAGAAGCGGAACATACGAGTGTTTGTTTGTTAGCATCGTTAGCTCCTGCTGCGCTAACGTTGGAGCTGCTGGTTAGAGACTCATTAAAACAGGTGAGAGACGAGCTGTGTTCACGTTTACCAGAGAGGCAGACTCCTCCGTGCAGCCACAGCTTGATGCGAATGTGCTAAAGAAGCTAACGAGTCCCGTCAATGGGCTCACATGCTTTTTAAATCACCATTTGAATCTATCCTCTGCTGCTACGAGTGTTATTTCAGCCACGAGAGGCATTGAACTGATCATCACTTGTTGTGATTCTTCCTCTTCAGTCCAACGATGTCTTCCAACGACGACGACTCCCGTGCCCTGGTTCTGGAGGAGCAAGTGAAGAGTTTATCAGAGGAGTTGAAGCAATGTCAGGTGTGTATGAATGTACACCTTCAGCAGTGAGTTTATTAGGTACACCTAAAGCCACGACAGATCCAGCTGTCCTGCAGTTTCATAGAAGTTAGAATGTTGTTGTTGTTGTTGTAGATGTGTCCAGTCTGAGGATGTAGTTTGTGATACTGATGAACTGTGCAGTACCATATGAAGATAATAGACAAAAGCATCTGTAGCGTAATACAGTTCTTCATACATACAATTGTCTTTTGTCCAACCTCCAGGGCTTTCACTTCTAAATTCATGTGTGACAAAGAAAAGCATTTATATCTTATGTTTTAGACGCTTTGAACAGCAAAACATTCAATAATTATGCTTAACAAATAACACAAAGTGACAATTTCATTTTCAAAATAATTGCCAGTTAGTGTTGTGTTGTTGTTCAGTGATAATTTGAACAACACAATATTGCGTCTCCAATCATAGTCTTGTGTTTTGTCGATGTTCCTGTGTTCCATTATGTCTAATTGGAAATTAAAGTACTGTTACAATGGCTGCCAGGCCCTATACAAACCTTGAGTGGATCCCCTGGTGCACCATCACATCACCAACCTAGCGCTTGTGTTTAGGAGCTGATTTCTAATTGAATTAAATAAGGCGTGTAACCAATGGTGATGAAAAGGCCATGGTATCTGACAGGGCAACAAATACCGCTACCTCACCAGTGACCACACCAAACGGTTCAAGGATTTTTTTGATAATCACTCTATTCGAAGGGACAGAGGATGTCGCACCTTGTACACATTGTTAAACTCTATGAGGCAAATTGTGACTCATAAGAAACACAAATGGCTAAGGCTTGCTTCGTTATAATCTAATAATGTAATAAAATTTAATTGATTTAAAACAGTGAAATCTACTGAGTAAACTCTGTGACCAAATGTCTAGACATGTGGATAATTGTTCAGCCCTCCAGTCTTAGTAAGATTGTAAAGTTAAGATGTTCAAGTGCGGCACCATGATTTTCTCACCGATGCATAATCAAATTCTTACTGTGCACTAATGCAGTAATAAAGGTCAATACTATTTGCCACTCACCTCTAATAAGCCCGTGAACTGTCGCTTCACATAATCTTATAATGGACCCTGTGAACCAGTGAGTGAAACATATTTTTGTCAGTGTAAAATGTAAGCGCCAAGATTTCTTTTCATTATTTCATTTCCATCAGACAATGACTGCCCACTTTTTATATATTTATATCCAAACCATTTGTTATCTTAATTACTGCTATTTCCATTCATTATGATCAGACAAAAACCTGTGACTGACCTAAGATACTTACATAGCATATCTCCAGCGATTGCAGTCATTTAATATAAAATAAGGATTTCTGTGGAGATAATAAAACATGCCAGGAAGTTCATCTGTGTCAGATCCTCTAATCTTAACCCAAAAGACATGAACTTATGATTATAGATCGTGTTTGAGTACCGTGACAGTTGACATTGAAAATCATATCTATTTTGAGGGAGTTTGTTGTTGAAAGGTGAGTTTTTGAATAAATGAATTTTACTAAATGGCATGAAGGGTATTTTAATTTTGTCTCTTTTGTGTGCAAATCTCCTGACTATACCTTATTAAATGTTCAGCAATGACAATAAATAGTTTGCAGGAAATCTCAGTTTTCAGAGTACATTTGAATTAGTTGACCTGCCCTCCCCATTTTGTATTTTTTCTGCCTTATACAAACACAGATACAGTAAGTGCTCATGAGCAGAACCTCTCAACTTCACTCTGTAAGTCAGTGATTGAGGGAGAGTGTCCTAGCATACTCACCACCAGGTGGTGCCTAATAACATGAGTGCACTGAACCCAGCACTTTTCATTTTGCATATGCACAGCACCTTACAGGTATGTACACAGCTGCTGCAGTTTTTATCAGAATGTACTATACCACCATCTACAACACTTGGGGCAGGGACATTTGTTGTGGTGCTGTTTGACTGTAACTGCACATGTGCCTGTTACTCTACCTCCTGTCTTTAAAGTTTGAATAGACTTTTGAAGTTAGCTTCCTAAATTTTATTCAGAAAAAGAAGTTTCAGACTTTAATCCCATCATTTGTAAGTATAACCCACTTGTGGTGCAAATCAATGTGTGCACCTTTTCAATTCAATGAAAACTTTAGTAGCTTCTTGATCATTAGTATTGGGTATGGAAATGTGATGGCTGCAATCTAGGCATCATAAAAAACACATTTAAAAAATCTACTTTGGAGGACTTTATTTTCAGTATCTAATAACATGATGCACGTTTTTATCAGGGCCATAAAAGTGACCTATACCCTTTTTTTAACTTTTCATACATACTTTTTTTAATAAACTGTATTTAACTGATAATATTGTCAAATATTACCTCAGGTTTTTCCAGTGTTGGGGAGGTGTTTGTTTTAATTGTATTATTAAGTAGGTTATGTTCACCTGAAAACACACAAAACAGAGGTGCACCATTTGTCAGTTTTCATCAACATTAGTCAAATATTTCCAGTTCCTTTAAAAATCCCCATAGCATTGTAGACTGACTTTGAGTACATGTATAACTAAGTTGCCATTTGTCCTGCAAACATTATGACATGCAAATGAGGGCAACTTTCTACTTTAACAGCAGTATTAATATTTTTCTTGATATTTGTAATGCACTGTATTAAAGTCAGTTTACCAGCATTACCTCACAGCAACAGTTCCAGTTACTGTACATTGAACTGACATGGAAACCATCCTCGGTGGTCTCTCATTTCGAGCAGAACATCAGTGATTCTGTCTATCTAATAGGGACCTTAGTTGTGCAGTGTACCATTTAAATAGTGGCATTAGAATACCATTGATGTCTTAAGTCCCTAGCAAGATGTACTTCAGGACAGCCATTAACTACAAAGAGTCTCATCTGTCGGCCAGCAAATGTTCCTACTAGACCATAGTAATTTTATTAATATGCGGATGAGTTCCAGTGGTTCTTTTTGGTATGTTTAGCCCATGGTGTTTCAGTGTCTGGATTCAGAATGAATAATTCAGTGATCATCAAACACACATTCAAAGCATCTTTAAGTACACATACGGCAGAGGAGCGCTCTTGATGAGAGTCCTGACTGAACACTTGTCTGTGGATTGGCTAATGGCAGCCAAAGGCCAGGCAGAGGGAGACCACCTATTTCATGTCAGCCATGCTGCTTAATTTCATCGTTAGCTGCATTGCTGGGTTGATGTGGTGAGATCTCTATCGCCGCATGCACACACACACACACACACACACACACACACACACACACTTACATACAGAGACCAATATCTACAGTCCTTCCACTTTATATGTTCAAGTCATGGCCTTATCAAGGTCTGTTTCTGCCATTTTTAGTAAATAATTGATTAGACACTTTTGAAAAGGGGGTTCAAATTCATATACTAATTGGAGACCAGTAGATTCCAGTGGGAGGGATGACTTTTATCTTATGATGATGTGAACATAATTTATCAGATAATTTTATATTAAGTCGATTTGGTATAATTCTGTCTTTTAATGTCAGAAAATGTAGTTTTTAGATGTCCCTCATTAAATGTAATGTAGCTTAAAAATGTTTGAAAAACCAGCGAGACAATTTGAATTGGAAATGTGTCAGGAGCTGGCTGGGTTTCTCTGCTTGAAGATGACTCTCTCTGTCATCAGCTTTGAGTTTCTTTGGGGCTAGTTACTTTGGAGCTGTAGTGGAAAACATATCCTGAGAGCAATTGATTAATAAAGAAAATGCAAGCTCCACTGCTGTGTTTTGATTTGGATCCCAGCTCTCCCCAGTCATAAATAGTGCATAATGACAAGTGTCAATGCTCGCTCCCCTTGAGTCGAAGGTCACATCTCAGCCATGGAGATTCCTGTTAAGTGATGCTCATGATTAGAGAGGGCAGTCCAGATCAAAAACTAATTTGTACAAGATATTTAAATTATTGATTGACTTCCCCTTCTGTCGTATGCAAATGTCATTGAGCATCCTATCTAATTTTTTGTTTTTTAATAAGGAGCTTGTAGTCCTCGCTGCACTTTAAGACCTATTTAGCAAAAGCTATTTATCTCAATTAAGAATAACAGATGTTGACTTGCTGAATCTATATTTCCACAGGCAGACAAGGAGTTTGTGTGGTCCCTATGGAAACGCCTGCAAGTGGCAAATCCAGACTTGACCCAGGCTGTCAGTATGGTGGTTGAGCGGTGAGTCGATTCATTTTTTTTAAGTGCTACCGGAGAAGCTCAACAGCTGAAAATTCCTTTATCTCACAAGTGAGGAGAAATGTGTGTGAAAGTCGTTCAAGGGGTGTTTAAGGCACCTTGGCCATTCTGCTGGGGTTACGACGGAATCTTGTGCAGATGCTGATTTAAGCCTTCTTATCCCCGGTCTAGCAGTTCAACCATGGAAACCCTTTTAATGAAAACACTCCTCCGCTGCCGCTCCCGTCTTGGACAGTTGAAACGCTCCTGCCAAATACTTGTCTTTATCGGATAAATTGTGAGATTGTCTATGACCTCTTTTGCAGGGTGGCTAAGCTATATGAAAAGCAGTTGCATGGGAACTTTCAGAAAAGATGGAGGGAAGGATAATGCACAGCTAGTTAAATGAAATATATTCCTCCATATTAAGAAAAAAATAGTACATAAAATGTTGTTAAAATACAGGTATCACTGCAGTTTGAAATGCGTAACAAACGTTTCAAATGCAGTAGAGATTACTTTAAAACTTCATTTAATACCTCAGTTGTTACTGACTTTTTTGTCTTTTGGGGATACATTAGAATGATATGTGCCCTATCATGGGTGCATATCACTTACTTTTTGAGGTCTGTCAGTTGTTGCCAGACCCTTAATAGGGGTAAAACATAGTGCAGAGAGTTCCCCAGTACCTGTGCGTCTCATTCCTTCTCCACACCCTCTTCAGTTCCTTTATAGCCCCCTAGGAAACCCATCAAAGTATGATACTCTGCTGAGACTAGTGGGGGAACATGCATCCAGAGAGTGTATGTGTATTGTATCACCTGATGCGCAGGAGAATATTGACATGGTAATTGTGTCGACTCCAGTCAAGCGCTAGTGCACTGGGAATTGCCATTCACCCTCCCCTATCCCTCCCGTGCGGATCTTGTAGAGTGATTGGTTGGTTGCTCAGGACATGGTGAGCACAGCCCAATATACAAGGAGATGTAGCTAGGCCAGCCTGCGTTCCAGCTCCTCTGGGGACAACAGATACTTATTTCAGTGTCTACCAGGGGAGAGGGCTGATCAGAAGAGGCAAAGAGACGAGAGAAAAAGACCTCAGAGATGGGAGGTGTAGAAGAAGCAAATGATGAGCGAAGAGAATGGAGGGCCCCTGGTGGCCTAAAGCAGTTGAAACAAACAGGTCCCAAACTGATGCCTTGTTTTTCTCTCTTTAAAAGTTCATTATGATAAAGGAGGTGCTAGTGGGCATGAGACAAAAGTTCAGAGTTAAGTGCTGCACCACTGTTGAACAGTAGCTAATGATTGAAGACTTTTTAAAATTACATTAAGCATCTATACATTTGGTAGGAGGAGAATAACATGGGCCACATGTAACAGGATATATTTCTTTATTTGGTAAGTAAACCAGGCACACAAATAATTAAATTAAATTTAGAAAACAACTAATGTTATAAGACAATTACAAAAGACAAGATATATACTAAAACTGAGAAAGTATTCTGGAAGCTATAATGTATACTTTAGTTCCTTTCAGACCTTCACTGAACTCTGGACATTTTGCAGAGAAGTATGTGAAAATGCAACAGACCAAGTTAGAATGAGAATCTAGAGCATTTGGTGATAAGGGCCTACAGCAGTGTTGATGCACTGTTAACAAAGACACGTGATTTCCACAGCAGAATTCATTTTTCACGTCCGGCCTCCTGCATTCTCTACATAGACGCCACCCCTCACCTGAACACTCCCAAGATCATCTTGTTGTTGTGATCCAAACAATCTCCTGCTGTGTTTTTCATGTGTGAAAAGTCTGTCCTGACATTTCATGTCTGAAAACAGCTTTAATGTTGTTTAGTAAAGACAAACTGAATGACCAAACTCACTCACTTAAAAATACTATATATATAAATGTATGGTACTATTTGCTTTAAAAGTAAAACAATTTCCTTATACATCTATCTGTAGATCTGTGAGGATGTACTTGGCATTCCCCAACTGTTCTAAATCCAAATCCCCAGTCACTGGATTTTAGATGACTATTACCATGTGGTTATTTGTTTTTCTTTTCTCTTACTTCTAGTGAGAAACACAAAGCTGAGATTAAGGACAGGAAAGTGTTGGAGATCTTCCAGATCAAAGACTACAAGATACAGGAGCTGGAGCAGGTACAGTACAGTGTGTACCAGCAGGTTGTAACTTTCTGTGTTCAACTAATGCCTTTTAGAGTTCTTGGTGATCCAACATGTCTGAAATACAATCGCTGAGTACGTTATTAGGAATACCAGGACCCCTGTTTGTTTGTTCATGAATGGAGTAACAAACAAAAACAGCAGCTCTGTGGATGTCAAATCCTTTTTATTGATAAATCAACAGCATGTATCCATGGTCACTAGTCCAGGCTGCTGCTGTTAGTCCTATAATAGTTTGGGGAATGTTTTCTGGCACACTGTGGATCCCTAAATACCAATCAGCCATTGTTTGAATGACACAGCCTGAGTATTGTTGCAGAGCTTTGCTTCCCTTTATGGCCACTATTTACAATTGTCTAATGACTACTCCCAGCATTTTAATGCTCCATGTCACAAAGCGAAAGTCATCTCTACTGGTTTAATTAACACTGCAGTGTGCTTTCAGTGGCCTCCCCAGTCACTGCACATGAGTTCAATAGAACAACCAGTTTGTTTTTGTGTGAGTGATGTGGTAGAATTGGGACATTTGCAGCCTGGATGCATTATTTTGAATTCATCCCAAGAAGAATTGAGTCTGTCCTGAGAGCAAAGATCCTACACAGTATAAGTATGAAGTTCCTAATAAAGTGATCAGTGAGGGTACTTACTGGATAAGGACTGTCATTTGTATGTGTCAGTTTGAATCAGAAAAAAACCAGGATGAAATCTCCAATCAAATCGTATTCATAATTTAGCTTTTTACCTAAGGCACCACTGTATTTGGCCTGCTTGTATAAACTAAACTTATTCACCAATCTTTAACGTAAATGTGGAAACTGAGAGTTAAATGTCTTTGTCAATACACTGACCAAAGGTGCAAAAGGAGGGCAAGTATTTCACAATTATGACCAAATGTTAAGTCCTAGCTTGCTTAAATTTCAGGTGAAACTTTTATAAGCAGATGTTTTGTTAATGAATTAATATTTAACAGAATCTGTGTGATTCTAACTGAATACAAGCTATAGCTCTCTCTCTTACCTGCTACTTACCTCTACCTCGCCCCTTGAGTAATGTTTCTTGATGGTATGATGGCTAACGATAATGACATCACTAATGTAATTTACTCCAAATCATCATCCCTTCACTGAAGCATCTGTCAGTCCCCTTCATTAGCGTCTCTCACCCAGACTCGTGTTCGTTCCTAATGAGACTGGCTGTAATGGAGTCATCAACTTGCCAGTGTCTTTTTTTCTTACTTTGCCCTCCTCGACCATTTCTACACTGATCCAGTCAATTTAACAGTCAGAGAAGTAGCTCATAGAATTACAACATATGTGATGACATCAAACTTTACTTCAGTGTTAATTTGAGAAACCAAGTGCAGCATTTTTTCACAGGTTTCAAACAAATATGAATGAAACATCCTCTGATTTTAATAGCATAATCCTCTTGTTGGGTGTGGCCCTCTTGTTTTGGCTGTGCTATGAATATTCTGCTTGAATCAGTTTTCAAGTCTGGCAGATGCATTAGTCCCTGCGACAGCCAACTTGAAAGCAAATCTCCCAGCCTGCATTTGTTTAACCTCTGGATAGGACTGTGCTGGCAATGCAATGATGTCTGGGAGCATTGCTCTGCCATACGAGAGAAATATATTACATCCTTACTGTAGAACACATTATTTATTAAACAATTATTATTTTAATGATGAATTCTAATGCCCTTATTATTTTGTATCTTATGGAAAAAAACATCCTCTGCAGTAAGTGTAAACCTATTTACTTTTACGTTTTATCAATTTATCTGATGTATTTCAAATCGGCTTTTCGTATTTTTTGTATTTTCATTCTTTTGCTCGTTCTCCTTCTCAAACTGTTGCTAATATAACTTGCAGACTATTTTAAACGCTCATTAATAGCACTCGGCGCTGCGCTGTCATTCAGCCCTCTGAGAGGCATAATCTCATCCATAGTCCTGAGCCATACATACCCAAATAGTGATTAATTGGTTTTTCCTCTTTTTTTGGAGATGTGATGGTCCACTGGGTCCACACAGGATTTCACACTCCTCTTAATGTCTTAGCTTTCCAACTTTGATGATGTTTTTTTTTTTTCTTCTTGCTCTTCTTATTTTATTCCACCTCTTTCTCTATACACTTCCCCTTGCTGCTCCTTTCCGTTTTTGTTACATAATTAGCTTTCATTTTTGAACTGCATTGGGAATTTTCAAATGCTAATCTTCATGTCCTAGACCTCTTAACTTGACGGAACCCCCCTCTTTTTCTCCTCTATCAATTGAGCACTACTGGATTTCAAATTGTTCTCGCCTACCTCATTATCAACGTTTGAATTTATTGTCTGCTCTCCAGTATAAATCTCTATTAAAGCCCCTCTGTTCTTAGCACGACGAGCTAGGAGTAGCGAGAAACGCTAAATCCACTATCTAGATATATGTGAGTGATTTCCCTCAACATGGCAATTAATTGCATCCCAGAGCACAGTGTGATTTGAGAGAAGGGTGTACCCACAGAAGGCTGTGGATTACCAGCCAACGCCAAACCCCAGCTGATGCAGTGTTCAGAGGCCAGCCGCCTCCTGCTAAGGTCACAGTGGCTGCCAAAAAACATGAAGTGAACATACACCAGCATCAAAACTGGATAGTCATTAAAATAATTGTATCATATTTGGAGGTGTCAGGTTTGGTGAACAACTATTGAGCTTTACAATCTTTTGTGATTCATTGTAGAATTAAAATGAGTGTAATATTGATCCTTACAGTTGAGTGTGGGCGGTTGCTGTTAAGAGTGGAATCAAAACAGAATATTAATTGTCAGCTGTTTTGATAGTTGGTAAATGGTTTTAAGTATTATGTCAAAACACAACTATTTTATTGTTCAACTTCATAGTCCTCAAATGTTTGAGTTAGACGCTTGTTATATTCTCCTTGTCATCTTGGGTTGAAGGAAATTGTCATGGTCATTTTTCATTATTTTCTGATGCTTTAAAGATTTGTCATTTATAAAGAAAATAATCTGTAGAATATGTGATTATGCCCAATATTTAAATGATTAATAAAAGTGTCACGCTGTCTCTTTCCCTCTCTTCTTCGCTCACTGTCTGCCAGAAAGCGGCAGGGCAGCAGCAAGAGATCAACAACTTGGTGCAGCGGAGGACAACAGTGAATGAGGACAGTGCCTCATTGAAGAAGGAGCTGACAGCTCTGCGTGAACAACTAGTTGATAAGGATCAGGAACTTAAGGTTGGTGGCACACATTTTCAGTGGCAGTCTGGGTCCTATGATATTATTTTCTGTGTGGCACTGAACACGACAAGTCCCCCCTTCGGCTACAACCACAACCATTTGAATCATTTAGAAAAGCGGAAGCATTGTTTAGCTTTCTTTAACACAATCTCTGTGTTTGTTTCTTCTTCTCTCAATTCTCAACGTAGCTCTCTCAAGCCTTTCTTGTTTTTTTAGCTTTCTTTCCTGCTACTGACAACAGAGAATACTTAACAGCTGGAAAGTGTGTGTGTGAGAGAGGAAGAGGGAGAGAAAGAAAAGCAGGTTGTTAACTTAGGTTAAGATAAATACTTAATGACCGCTTCAGTGGGGGAAAGTGAAAAGTGTGCATGTGATGGTGTGGCTTATCCCTAATTATGCTTAGATGGGACCGGGCTATGATTAATTGATAAAGGAATGGTCCTTACACAGTCTTGGTGAGGTCTCATGGCGAGAAATCGTGGGGGACAGCATCAAAGGAGACCTGGGTTGAGTCTAATGGGTCTTGCAGCAAGCACCATTCTCATTAGGAGCCTGTCATTAAAGCCGACAGACTGGCCCCCGTACCTGCATGAGCCCAGCTCTTGCAGCACGGCTCGGCCCACACCAACCAACATCTGGCCGAGTCGGCTCACTCATACAGTACAGGTGACCTTGTCCAAGCAGCGGCCCATGCAGGGGGCTCCCGCAGCAAAGCCGGTCCACTGTTTACATATTCATTTCAGCCTTAACCCCATGGGTTGCTTCTCTTTTTTGCATCTCTACGTCTTTCTTTTTTCATTTTCTCAGTTTGAATTGCTACTTTTTCTGTTTCTCTCCTTTCGTCACTGTTGTTTATGTGGCCCTCATGACCTCCCACTCTTCTCCTTATACACACACACCTCTTATCCAGGAAATGAAGATGGAGAGTAGGAGGAAGGAGGAGGAGGAGCGGCAGGTGGTGAAGGCTCTAGAGGAGGAGAAAGAGGGATTAACTTCCCGCTGTGCCGCCCTACAAGCTGACCTGGAGGAGAAAGAGAGGCAGGCCGACACCCAACAAGACAACAGGGATGCTGCCCAGGCCAGAGTCAAGGTATGAACACAGGGACAAGAACATTTAGCATATTTTCAGAAATGTTATTAATATGCACTGTCCCTGACAAATAAAGTAAAGCAAGAAACACACACACGCTCAGAGTTGTACAGGAAGGGCTCAGTCCTTTATCTTGTGCTCTGCTCTGAACTCTGTGATCCCTCACACCCTCTCCTCAGCATGAGAATATAAACTATATCTGAAGCAATTCACATAATTTAAATATGTAGAAAGTATATTCAAAGGAAGGAAAATGAATCATTAAACACGAGGGAGACTTTTTTTCTGTTCACCTGATGACCACAACTGGAGACTCGAAACCAAATATCCGTCATTATTTATTATCAATACTTTCAATCTCTTAGAACATGAGAAAACGTGATCAAACAGTGACAGCAGTATTGCTGTTTAAACATTCAACCAATCAGATCAAAATCAGAGTCCTTGAGGAGGTTTCTCTCACCTGTTGTCATTTCCTTACAGAATTAATTTTTCCTGTCAGATTCTCAGGACACCAGAGCTACAGAAGAATTTGACATTCCGTCTGTCTTGATAGACTCATCATTATGAAACATACTGCTACTCTCGTGAAATGGAGTCAGACAGAAAGTCTTGTATAAGTCAGGACTGGAGAGTAATTACACTTGGACGGGATGGAGTCCAGCAACTCGACTTTATGCACATCCATCAAAGCCTAAGACACTCGACCTGCTCCTCAGTTTTAGTATCATACTTTGATTTCAGAGATGGAGATGGAGAATATGGGTTGTGCAGTGGATACATCCTGTTAATTAGTTTGACATAGTAGAGATTTATCCACAAATATATAATTTAATACAGTGAACGATTAGATTAGGTTCAATTATTATATTATTTACTGTATGTTTTTAATTACACAGGAGGTTTGAAAATGAAAAAGTAGAAACTTAAAATGATCAAAGTCTATCAACAACACAAACCGTCTCATTAAAAATTGAATATTGTAAGTTGTACTGCAGGGTAACCATAGTTTCCTGTAAGATGTGTTTTTTGTTATTTTATGCTCCTAAACAAGCATAATTGCTGCTTTATGTACATTTACTGCTATGGTATTTTTTTTTTTTTTTCTTGTAATTACTAATGGCTAATTAATTTTTCATATGGTTGATTCTGGCCCTGTGAAATACTGCTTTTAATTAGAATTAAACTATCAAGGCTCTGGGACCTTTGTGTGTTTGATGCCGCGCAATCTGCCCTGCACTAATGGTTTCTTCTTATTAAGGAAAAGCTGTCACTGGCACCTTGTCTACTACACCTGCTACAGAGTGAAAGAAGCACAATAGCAGCAGCTGCAGTTCTTCGACAGTGTGTACATCTTATCTGTTCAGATGTGTTTTGACTGTGCTGAAAACCTAATATGCATCAGTGTAAGCTGAAAGAAAACAGACTGGGAGAAAAAAAAAAGATGCTTTATGCTACAAAATTGAGACATTTCTTTCAGACCGACAGAATGTGAGAAAAACACATCTGAAATGTAGCTGGTGCCGAGAAAAACAGCTGAGACTTGTGCGATGTACAACAGATACATTTTATTTTATTTCCAAATGAAACATTTTATGTAAAAGTGAATTGAGGAATATGCGGCGTAAACCCAGCACAAACATAATGAAGAAAGGATTCATTCAAAAAGCTGACATAAAATATATGACATAAAAATGCAAATAACATATATATATTTATTGGTATTAAGTAAGTGTCAGAAGTGGAATTCGATTGTTCCTTTGTGACAGTCACTTTTCATTATTTTTCCACAAATAAACAAAATGAATATGAAATGTGAAAATAATCAATACTTGTATCCCATAATAATAATAATAATATTTGGATATCAGGTTTAAATGCCGAGTTAACTTATAGTTGGCTCTATGTTATTTTTATGAAAAAAATCCAAACGCCATAATATTAATATCTAATATTTAAAACACATGATTTAACCTGTAACTCTTTTTGTCTGTTTCTATCTTCTGCTATCAGCCTCTTTTGTCATCATCTGTTAGATGCTTTTCTGTGTCTTTGCAGGAGGAATATGTCATAAAAAAAAAACCTTTTCCCTTTATTTTTCTGTAAGTGCTTTAAATTGGACGTTACTCTGCTTTACCAGGAGCTGGAGGTGGAGCTACATAATACCTGGAAGGAGTTGTCTAGCTTTCAGAGCCACGGTACCAGTCTAGCAGACCAAGTTTCTACCAAAGAGAGGGAGGTGGCAGTGAAAGAAGAGCAACTCATTCAACTTCGGTGAGCCCTACCAACTGAAGTGTTGTCCTGTATATTTCAGTGGCTGTTTTCATGTCTCTTAGGGATTTTTGGGACCAATTCAGTAGTTAAAGTATCATTCTGTCCTGTGGAGACATATGCGTATACATCACGTCTCATGGGTTGCTGTTTGCTACAGCTAGTATATCACTCTATGCCGTGAGGCTCGGGGGTGACAGATCTCTTCCACTCTGGCTCACCTAAAGCCACTTGATAAGCCCTGCATAGTGGATATGCTTTAAAAGAGGGAGAAAAGGGAAACAGAGCAGGCTTTGGTTAAGCTTTAGTCGATATGATAAAAACTGTGAGAACCGTCTGAGCCTTAGTGGTAATCTCAACCTTTTTTAACTACTTTCCTGTTTTAATGCCAGAGGTGCTCAGAAATGTCATTCACACCACGTCTAGAGACCATTCTTAGGTCTAAGCTACGTGATTAAAGATGTCCTTATACGCAAGAGAGCACTTTGTGTTAATTCTATGGGACACAAAACGAATCAGAAATTAACTTACTGTCCTCAGCTGGTGGGTAGCCACTTTGACATTAACATGTAAAGTTCTCTTGGAATTTTTCCCTCCATGATTTTTAACCGGGCCTAGAGGCAGTCAAAACAGTGCCAAATCATAATGTTCTCTTCACTTTATATAACCACTGGGATAATGATTTCATGTTGGTATGCAGCAAACTTTTTATGCCATATTTAGTGCTGCGTAATCTTCCCAAATGGTTTAACCTGAATTTCATCGGCCCACAAAATATTTTCCCTTTAGTTTAGTAGAATCTTAATATATCTTTGGAAAACTTGTTCTTTTTGTAGAGCAGAGGTTTCCTTAGTGGTGTCTTTCTTTGGGAGCCATGCTCCGTGCAACCATACACCATGACTTGTCTATGGTTGACTCATAAACAGGTTAGAGGTTTTAACCAGCTTCAGTGATCCCTTAAAACCTGTAGCTGTTACTCTGGACTTTTTTTGTATCTGCTTTGTGCCATAGGAGTCATCTTAACTTGTAGTAAGAGGAACCACAGAACTGAATTGAGTTTGTCAAGCTGTTAACTGATGAATATCTCAGATCTGATTGACTTTGTGACCCTCTCAACCTTTATGAAAATCAACAGTTCTTGATCATCAGTCTTCTGAGATCTTTATTTTTGCAAGGCATGCGTCACATAAGTAGAAGTTTATTGTCGATAGACAAACTCTCAATGTTTCAGTGGCTCTAATCCTCACCTCCAATCGGGTTTCATTGAATTGACACCAGGTTTGTTACCTCCTGACTCCAGTTATCTTTTGTCTTTAGCCTTGGGGTTTAATATTTTTTGTAACCTTAACTGTGGTTGTGTGAACTGTGGATACAATACAATACTTTGCGTTGTTAGTTTAAATGGACTGTTTGTAATTTACTGTAATTTAGATTAAAATCAAAACATATTTTAAGACACATTTATAGGTGAATGCAGATACTACCAAAGGGTTCGCTTGCTTGACTTGTAATTTCAGTGTATTGATTATATTCAAGGACATCACTTCTCTCGTGCAAATGCATTATGTATATTGTATGTTTGTGAATGTAGTCGTGAGTTTGCAGAAGTGCAGACTCTGTACAGACAGAGCACGAAGCATGCAGCAGAGCAGAGCCATCTGATCAAGCAACTGGAAGGACTCAACCTCGACACACAGAGAGTCCTGAGGAACCAAGAAGAGGCACACACTGCTGACACCACGTCCTACCAGAGGGTACTACTCACACATGCACATACACAAGCCAAACCTCAAACTCGTCATTATTATAACCACTTTGTTGCACTCCACTCATGCCTCACCCGCTGGGGTGATTTATGTCCAGACTCGCTCTAACCTACAATTATTTTACTGGTGCCAGAAAATAAGGACTTTTCCCACAGTATCCTGTTACTAGTGAATATGTTCTTAACCTACCACCCTTCTGTCTGATGACTGTTCCTCTGTGCCATCCAAAGACCTAAAAAAGGTGGGGAGCACAGGGAGAGGCTTGGAGCAAGTATTAGTTGTAAAACATTAATGAACATTTTGGTTTCACTTACCAATATCTTCTATTTTAAATCTTTTTGTTTCAAGACATTTTTTTGTTCTTTACATGATATTAGCTGTCTTAATTACACCATGTCATCTATGTCCCATGATGAGTGACGTCTCATCTCCTCCCTTCTCCGGAGGGGCTGTTTATGAAAACTCTAGAATCTGGAGTGGAATCTATGTCATGTCCTGCCTCCGAGATGCTGTACATAGGCACCACCCCTCGCCTGAACACTTCAGAGATTTTTCTGTTGTTGTGAAAGCATCTGTCCCGGTCAGTCTCCTGCTGGGTTCTTCATATATGAAAAACAAAATACAGAAAATGAACATTATCTGGAGTTCATGTCTGAAAACGGCATATTTGACATCCCATCTCTAGTTGATCTGAACCATTCCTTTACCTCGTCACCTCCCCTCCTGCCCTCTGTCTGTTCTACCAACCTGTCTGTCTTTATTTGTGCTTGTTGACAGCTGTACAAGGAGTTGAGTCAATGCTACCAGGCCCTCGTGTCTAGTGAGGCCAAGCTTCGTCAGAGTCACCAGGAGCTCGGCAGCCAGCTGGCTCATAAAGACCAACACATCCTGCAACTCCAGGCCCAGCTTCAACAACAGGAGCAGGAGCAAATACTACTGCAGCAGCAACAACAGCAGCTACAGGCTCAGCAGACAATAACTAACTCCTCAACCAACAGACAAACCAACTTTAAGGCAAGCACTCCTCTCATTCGTTGCCATCTCCTCCTCGTTAGAGTTTAGTGCATTGCAACTCCAGGCTAAGAAATGCTTTTCTGCTCTGCTGCAGTTGTTGAACTTTGATTTGCACTTGTGTGGGCATTGACAACAAACTCCAGTACGCTTATTATTCCCTGCATATTATACCTGTATATTTTTTCTTACACGATACACACATTATATTATGGTGCTTTTGTCAATCACCGGTCGAGAGCTAGTGTCTAATTGTCCTAAGGTTCAGAAACAGCAAAGTGTAGGTGGATTAGTAGGTGCAGCAATAAATGATCAGCCCCACCATGGCCTGTGGTGGTGGTCTTTTACTGAGAATCACTCTCTTGATATCACTCCAGTTCACCTTTGATCTGTCCATCTCTCTTAGCAGCAGTGTCTTTCATGTCAGCTATCTGATCTTCCCTCGTTCCCGGTCCGAGGCACATATGCACTCGCTGACTTACTTTATCCACCTTCTCTCTCTTTTCTCCCTCTCAAGTACCTGGAAGTCCTTTTAACACACTCCGGTCACATAGCAGTTAAGACAGCTAAGAGGTGGAGAGAGGTGTTCTAATTGGAACCCAGTAATGTTCTTGAAGATGCTGTTTGAGTTCCAGTAGTACATCTGTCAGTCAGCAGGGGTTTGGCTTTAGCTCTCTACCTTTGAACTGTCACCCCAAGGCGATAGAGGCTGGAGCATAAATTTAATGGTGCAGCCACAATTTAAGTGTCCTTTAATAACTCCTAATAACATGGTGATGGGTGTTTCTTGGACCACACAGTGTCAAAGACTGGGTTGGGAATACTAACCGGTATCTATATCATCTACACTTGAGCCACATAGTTATAACGAGACTCTCAGTCTCTTCTGCAGCATGACTTTCACTTCAGTTTATACTGCGGCTGATTGCAGGTAAAACAACTCAGTAGCTGATGATAATATTTTTTTTTTGCTACAGTTGAGTAATTTCTTTGGCGGCAGAGACTGCAACTGTTTAATTTGATTAGTTGATATTTTTTGACAGTGCTTTTCCCAGACTGCGGAAGCTAAAAGATATCAGCTCAAATATTAAATGAGTTACAATCACCCTGTCTCACTTAACCCTGTTAATTTAACCAGCTGTGAAGTATAAATGGATCATTTAGTCAGTAATTAAATACAGTACTGCAGTGTTCCTCCAGTAATTAATACTACATTTAGAGACGATGTGTGTGTGTGTGTAGTGTGGGCATGCATGCATGCATACATGCATGTTGTGTAGTGAGTGTGTGTTTTATGTGTGTGCACTCCACCTTCACACTCTTCCCCAGCCAGGTCAGAATGAAAAATTGCCTCACACATTTTCAAACTTAAGATGTAATTACAAATATATTATTGGTATATCCTGTGATAAGAATGAATATTAAGCTTTGTTTACTGAACACATGTAGCTGCTGTCTGGCTGATTTGTTTCTTTAACTTTTAACTTTCTTCCACATCAAAGTGAACAGATCAAGTATCCCAAGGTATAGCGTTCAGTCAGGAGGGCTTTCTGTTTCCCACTCTGTAATTTCACTGACAGGTTGTGCGTATGTGTGTACGTGTGTGTCTGCACGGGCATGTGGTTGACTAAAGGTGTGTGTTTCCGAGCGCATAATCGCAAATTCTCTAACAACTTCCTCCCGAACACCTGTTAAATTCTAATGCTCAGGTTGTTAAGGCAGATTTGATTTTAATTTTAAATGTTTTGGTGGAAGTTACCATTGGAGGTGATCAAAGTGCTGATCGCTACGGGAGCACAGGGGAGAGACGCAGCGCTCATTTGAATATAGACCAGAGCGACGGCTTTGAACACCCCTCCCGCAGTGGTTTGGAGGGGGGAATAAAAGTGGAGGGTGGGTGAGAGGAATAACACCCATTGTGTGTATACTTCATGCTGTGCACAAAGATTGAATGTCGGTTCTCTCCTGTCTCATGCCAAGTTAATTCTTTACAGGAAGCTTAATGAGACTTTACAAAGGCTTTAACATACATGAACAATGTTGGTGTAGCGAACTGTTCTTCCTGCCTGTTAAAATGAACAATGTGTGGGGTTTTTTTTTTTTTCTTACCTCCTGTATCGACTAACCTCACAACCTCACAGTCTACATTAAATTCAGAAATTAATGTTGCTTTGTTTAGATGAATAGATAAAGAGAGTACAGATAAGTACTTTATTGATTCTGTAATGTGGGCATCTGAAGAAACGCAGCACACATATGTAAACATAAAAAAGATATTGTCATCAACAAAATGTGTATATATGTGTACATATATATATACATTCCCACAGAAAACATAATCACATATAGGTCTTAATCAATAGCAATTTTATATTATTTAAACTGTTTATTGTTTCAATGATTTATCATTAAGTGTATAAAATTAAATCAACGGTAAATGTTCATCTTAGCACAAGTACAGTGTGACATCTTAAAGTTCAAATCATTATATTGGAGTCTTGTTTTTTATTAATTCTAAATAACGCAAATAATATGCCAACAACTCAACTTGCCCTGTATTTTCATGTGTGTTGTGTATTATATATTTGTCTGTGTGTGTTTGCACTAAACAGCATGTGATACAGTCTGAACAAACAGCCAGGTTTGAGAGGTTTGGGTTGCCAGGTTGGGTGGTGACACTACACTTTATAGGCAGAGAAGATCCCTCATTAGTGGACAAAAAAACACAACCCAGAATGCTCATTTAATCATTTTTGACTCTTTCCCTGGCTGCATGATTGTATTTCTAATAGTCGGGTGTTTGGCTACTGTCAGAGCTGTGCTGTGATTAAAGACCAACATTAGAAACCATAGCTGACCTCAGGCTTTCTGGAACCTTCACCACTGTAAATGAGTGGTAAGATGTTAATTGTGTGGGCAGTCATTCAAAGCACCGGTTACTTTCTCATCATCACTGGAAAGGGAAAAAGAGGGCTTGTTTGTTCTCTCCTGAAAAGTTCAATCTAAATTTCTGTGAAAGACTCTGAAATGTTTTACTGATACTTAATCTATGATAGTTTTTTTTTTTATCAGCAGAGATGTTGACATGTCACATTAGAAAAAAGGTGTAAATATGATGTCATAATGGCTTCATTCCATTTAGCTGCTTTAGGCTTTATTATTTTTCGTTCTGAATCACTGTCACACTCAAGACTTACAAGGACTCTTGATTAGAAAAGAGACAATAATGTTGTAAGTAACATCTGTTCTCTTCCTCTCCTTTGAAGGTGACTTATTTTCACACGATCAAATACTCTCACTCTCACTATGACCTCTTACTGCAGCCACCCCACCCACTATGACGCTCCCTAAAGAATTGTGCACATGTATCATCACCATACTTTGAAAATAGCATTAAATGGAAATTTTTAGCATACGATTCACACAATCTTTATCATGCATAAAAGTTATTCATACAATTATAAACTGAAGCACAAAAGCAACATTTCCCAAGAGGACCAAGCTTCCTTTTTTTTTTTTTTAAGTAAATTGATCGAAGCCTTTTTTTGTGCATTTGTCTCAGCTTGTTGAGATGGTTTCAGCTTTTCCCTTGTTATTTATGTTAAACCAACATAAACACTTCTAGATGTATAATTAAAGTGCAAGTTACACACACACAAGTGCATAAATCCACCCACCATTTTGCCGGTTCACATTTGGCTTAGGTGAGATGTTTCTTTTGATCATCATCATCATTAATAGCAATCGTCAAGTGGAAACGAGGAGACCATAATGCTCCAAAGAAAAACGGAAATCCATTTTTCAAATAAACAAACAGACAAAGGTTTTCTTTCTGAACGTTTACGTGTCTATGACCTTTGAACGAAAGAAGGATGAAGGAACTTTATGTAGAAATAAGCATGTACAGTACATGATGATTACCTCAACTGTGCGTGTAGCCTTCTCTGCTATTATTCACAACAACATTTATGAAAAGCTTGTATCAGATTTTTGAAGTTTTTTTCTCTTCAATCTTATTTTGACTCCGAACATTTGTTTTTCCATCTGGAAAGCCTCTCCATCAGCGCGACTGTCAGGACCTCTCTAAAAGCATGTTCAAATGTCTTGCAACACACTGCCTGTACATACACATGTTATAAATTCATCAAATTCAAAATGCTACTTTTGTCATCCACTCACCTTGTGTATGCTGTGTGTGTGTTATTAGTAAATAGCGTTGTCAACATTAGTTTGTGTGTGTTTGGATCCGGGCCATGTCCAGGGCCAGAAACATACTAATGACATGGACTCCAGTGGTGTGTTTTACCAGCTCAACTGCTCTCATTAGATGAGAACCTCTGCGTAGTGCAGCTCGCCTCATTAATGAAGCACAGCCATGTGCCGCTGCAGATACACGCACTCACTCGCTCAAGCATACACACCCGGGTCAAACTGACTGTGTGGGAGGACTCAGGGCACACACACACACACACACGCACGCACGCACACACACAAGCACGCACTCTGCATCCTACTCCCTTTGCACTGTCCTTCTATGAAGTCCCTCTCCACTGCGCTACCAGTTAACACACACGCTCATACATATATGCACACACATTTTTTGAAGAATCATCATCTTGAATACAAAGTGCACTTGGCCTGTTGTAGGGGGGTGCACCTCCTCACTTCTCAAGCCTGTCAGATCACTTTCACAAATCCTGTCCCTCTGCAGATGTGTGTAAATGTGATTGTGTAAGTATGTATTTTATTTTGGTGTGTGTGTGTCTGTGTGTTTGAGGGGCCCCTCCTGATTATAGCTGCTCCATAATTAACAGTGATCAGATTTGTTTTGTGGCATAAATGGTGCATGTGTAGAACATTAGGCCTGGCAAGTCTCATTTCACATTCAGCTCAAGGGCTCGGCAGCAGACGGGTCACGAGCTTCAGGGAGCACAATCACAAGCCTCGCTCCATATGGTCCTGCCTGCCGCATCCTCACCAGCAAGGGCCGCGAGTGCCAGACAAGTTCCCCCAAGAACCTAATCGTGTTCAGTAATTACCAAGACTGGTTTTTCTCTTTTTTTTCTCTTTCCCTCCCCCAGCTCCCCCCATCCCTTGCTCTTTATTCACAGAGCCCACATGCTCTTTTCTTCTCTTTCAATCTCGTGCACTCTCCCTGTCTGTTGCACTTACTTGGCTGCTTGTAATATGTTTATGTTTTCCCTTTTACACCTTTTCTGCTGTTTTCCTGTTTTTTGCTAGATAAAAATCAGGATGGGGATGAGAGAGATTGTGAGAGAAAAATAACTCAGACACTCCCACCTCAGTTAATTTCTAAATTGCTTTATGTGGCTGATGCCGAAAAACCCAGCCCGTCCTCCTGACTGCCTGGAAATTATAAATAATTGTAACAGATGCGCCAATATGGCCGGCCTCCAATAAACGAGGCCCCAGATAATTTGACCAACCCCGTTTGACAGGCCAATTTAATAAAACATGAACAAAATCTTCCTCACTAATAATTTATCATCCCCTCTCCTCCCCTTTGGTTAAAGTTGATTACCCTGGCAGTTAACAAGGTCACGCCCAGATGCCAGGTTTCTGATAATGCAATCAGAACTTGTTGGAAAAAGGTGATGACATCCTGTGCGGTTTTCTTCACTACCTGGCCTCTTAATTCAGCACAGTTGTGAATGCCTCTATATGTCAAAAGGCTTTCGATTTGATGTGTTGAGTAGAAACGCACTTGATAGCAGCAGGTGAGGCTGTTTTTTTTTCTCCAAGTGTTTCACACCTTTATATCAAGGATTTAAGAAAAGAAAGGTGTAAATGTTCAGTGAGGTGATAGAGTCAAGAGGTATGTGGGTGCGTGTTGACGTCAAGATAAGGACATTAACAAAGTAAAATGTGTCATCTTACTTTTGAGTGAATGCGTCTCTAAAACTAAAGTATCTTGTCCCTTAAACCACCAAGTTTATTCAAACATCATGAAGGAACTGTCTCCACTGTTGAAGAGTAAAGATTGAATGTCACATATGCACGACATGGACATTATAAAATCTATACTTACATGGATTTATTTTAAGGATTTCAAGAAAACTCTTTCCTGGGTGGGCCCTCTGCTGTATCCTGGCCATAATAACACTGGCTGCCCCACCTCCACATGACACATCTGTTTGTTGATTTAAGTTTTAGGAAATGTAATGTTGACATCCAGCTTCACTCCATTCGGCCACATATATGGATACTTTGATACTGTAGATTTTTTTGTTGCATTGGTCCAGAGCTCATAACATTGCATAATAGTCCAATAAGATTTTATCATGGCAAACCAGTCTCTCTGCATCTCCTATACACCGTGTATTTATTACGCTGTTTTTTTTTTTAATGTTTTACATTGCTAAAGAAAATCAAGTTGTCTTAACTGGCTTCCTCTGTTTTTGGATTTGAATGATAGTCCACAACCAATTTATAACTCTTCTTCATTGGGTTAATATTTTGACATGTCACAGTGATGTATCATTACTTACTATTAAGTCCTTCACCAAATTAAAACTTTCTCCTTTTGAGTCTGATCTAAACAAAGCTTCAAATTACTGTTCAGTCATTCTCACGTTAAGACATGCACCTTTTATACATGTTGTCAATGCAGCTAGTTGTATTGCATGTGCTTAATGTAACTTTGGATTCAGAAATAGTTGTGACACTCTTTTGTTCTCTCCACCTTTAAGCCTCTATCACTCTACCTTTCTTTTGTTCTCACCCACAAAAACAGACACCACCTGTGACATCGTTTTGTTTCTCCCTCCTTACAGGCAGTGGTGTCAGAGCAGTCTCATGCTGTAGCTCAGAGACGTAGCCCCTCTGACCAGAGCTTCAACCGTGGTGCAGATTCCAGGCCAGAGGACAAGACCCTACAACGCAGATCCACCAGCTCTGTAAGAAGACATCAGGTAGATTAGCACACACACAACTTCTAATTATGTCAAAGACAGCATGTGGGGCTAACATGCCCACGCTTATCCTTTACCACTTTGCTACGATTAGATCAAAGCTACAAAGAGGGGATGTGAAGGAAATGATCTGTTGAGAATCATGTGATATATCAGACCTTGGCTTTGCCAACCTTTGTCCTGAACTCCACAACACACACAGATGCCCCTCCTACTGTGACCAGGCCGGCGTGTGCTGCTGGTTTCACGCATGCCTTGGGCTCAGGCACTGGCTAATTTACCGCTTCAGCAGTACATTAGGAACAAAAAAGAAGCTTTTGATCTTCTCAGTATTCCACTCATAAGTTTGGCAGGACATGTTTCTAGATGGCCTCACTCACTGTAAAACTGGCCTGAAGACACATTGTTTGATTAATAGCGCTGTCCTCATTATAGCTCCGATAGACGTGCTTCTGTCTTGGCCGTTAATACATGTGATGTAATTATTTTTTACAGAATATATGAACTAATGAATAGAAAAAAGTATTAAATAAATTGTATTCATTTGATGTGCTTCCCTTTTTTGGAGGCACTGCTATGTTTGCCTTAGGACACGCACATATACACAATCTGGCTGTTGATAACACATTGAGAAATGTGCCATTTATTTAACCTGGTGTCGATAGTTTTACCTCACAGAGGGATTGTAATTGATTTTTCAAACAATACATTTTTCATACCTTATTGCACTGAATAAATACATTAGTCATCATGGGATTTACAAAAGTGTAAACCAGTGTGTTTAATGCAGTTTGCCTGCATTGTCCTTTTCAATCGAAACTGAATTTAACTATATGTAAAAGGTTTAAGAAACTAAGATAACTACAGTACAGTCACTTTTCTAGAATTCAGCATTTTGAACCTTTTCATCAACCTTACATACTTTCTGTGAATATAAAATGAAGACACTCACTTATCCTTCTTCTCATTACTTGGGCTCAGCATGGTGCACTATTTTAGTGATGGCTCAAAAGATCTTTAAATGAGTACGTCCCTGTCCCATCTTGACAGGCTTCACTAGATGTGATATTGTAGTTTTTTCCCCCTGAACACACACATCTGTTGCATATGTACTTTACATTTACAAATGTAATTACAGCAGGATCTTGGCCAGAGTAGATCCCACAGAGATTTAATCAAATTGCAAATTTTAATATATCTGGCTGACATATAATAATATATGTTATATGTGTGTGTGTGTATATATATATATATATATACACCTCATAGACTGTTGATCTTCTCAAATAAATTGGTTGTGAACAACTTCCACTATGTCACCAAGGGGGTGTTTACAGGAAGTGCTGCTAACTTAGTGCCTTTGTCACTTCATTTACCAACTTTTCATATTCCTTTACCTTTAACAAAAAAATGCAGCTACATTAATCGTCAAGTCAAAACTTGCTATCATAGAAAGACTTGAAAGTTTTGAGCAGTTGTTGCTGTTAGCTTCTCAATGATGATGCTCCATAAACCTGCTTCATTACACTCTATTCAAACAATATTACCAAACTGCAAGGTCAAAAGCTGATGAAATGAGCCCTCTGTGCATCCTATTGCTGCCACCTAGGGCACAATTTGCAGCTCTTTCAGTAAGTGCCCTTAAGTGATGTGATTATTGGCTGAGGTGACGAGCAGTCACAGTGGTAATGACTCAGAGTTTGTTACACACTGGACGTGTAAATCAGGTGCTTTGATTATGTCATTAAGTGAATGTCTGTGTTTGAGTGACGAAAGTTCACTTTGAACTGGGAAACCTGATTTCAAAGAATTAATAAAAGTTAATTAATCTTTAAATGATTCACGAAAAGTTCAGTCTAAAAATCAGGGCTCCAGAGTGCGACCAAAATTCTGTGAAGTGCGACTACATAAAATCTTCATAGTTAGCACCATTGCACCAAACATTTAGCTGGTCTGTCTCTGTATCTGTCGAGGGGCATTAGTCGTGTCGCTTCCTCATCTCATCTGTTGTGCACCAAGTTATAGGTTTCCATTAGCTTACAACTTTAGTTCTCTTACATTTTATTTCATATCCAGGCAAAATTGGTATAGGACAATGAAATATCCTGAACTGAATCGATATCGAATCTGAAATTGAATCGAATTGAGACCGTATTTGTTTGTACCCTGTTATTTACCTTGAAAATTCAGTTCAGCTTACTGGCTCTTTAAAGTATCTGTATCTGTTGGTCTTTTTAAATTTGTTTTGCCCCTTTGAATATTTTTTGTATGTGCAATACATTTGATGTGTGTGTGTGTGTGTGTGTGTGTGTGTGTGTGTCAGTCTATGTTTGTCTGTCTACAGTAAGTGTGTATCCTTCTTGTCCTGTTCTGCTCTTGTGCATGTGTACAACATTCCTCTCCATCTGAGAATCTGAACAAGTTCAGCTTTGAGAGCTCCAGACACACACATGACACGCTGCTGCAATCATAAAGAGGCCCATTGATGACAGTGACCCCTCTCTCTCTGGGAGATGGAGAGAGAGGGGGGAGGAGAGGTGAAAGGAGGAGGGAGGCAGTCGAAGAAATGTTTCTTCTTTGCTACACAACCACTGACACTGACCCCTCAGTAAATAAGAGTTTTACTCTGGCATACATACAGACTCTGTTTAGATACCGGCCTCTCCCGTCACTGCCCTCTCACTTATATGCCCTCTGCCCCTCCATCTGCATTGCACTGTCATGTTTACATAGTCATTACAGGGTGTGATGCGCAGGTCAGGTCATGGCCGCCAACCAGCTGCCGAGCTGAGGTACACAGCAGGCACATCTTTCTTTGCCTTGTGTTCTCTGCTTTTTATCTTTCTGGCCTGTCTCGTGGAACATTACCAACAATGTCACAACATAGAGCTTCCCACACAAACAGAAAGCATTCATGTGTCTTGTGGAATGGCTGCAGACAGCATGCAACTGGACCAAAAAGAACATCTGCAGCAAATCATTTGTCACCATGTCATTTTCCCCTGCACCCCTTCAGACAAAACACACACAGTTTCTCTGCTCTGGTTCTCAACTACAGAGGAAGCATGATTTAAGAATATTCAGCTCATTATTGAGTAATAATAATCTCCACTAAATGTATTTCTACCTGGAAAACCTATTTAGGACTTCCTCAATAAGTCATGCTTCATAGTTCCTCATCTTTACTTTAATTCCTGGACATTGATCTGCTTTGGATTCCTTTTTTGGCCCCTGTGCTTCCCCCATGTACACACAGGCTAAGCCAGTTGGCCTTACACTCATCAGGAATATGCAGATCAATCTGCTAATTAGTTACATAGAGTCATTAAGGCTGAGTTAGAACACATGGTTGGCACACACACAGGCGTGAAAGCAGAACTGGGCACATCAGGTCACTGGAGTCAACTGTAGCCCCAGGGCACATTCCCAAACACAGGAACATGCATGTCAGTTTTTGTCTGAATGATTTTACAAATGTGCAGGTTGTAGTGATGAAATTAGACAATTGTCATTATTCTCATGACATTAGAATGTTCTTACTATTTTAATATTTTTGGAATGTAAATATACTCCCTTTGCTATTACATGTACAGTATTTTCACTGTTACTGTTGTTTTGCTCTGCAGGATTTAGCAAGTATCTGTACGCGTTTAACATCACCATTTTATAACAATGCTTGATAATGAGTTCAGTTTTATTGTGTTAGAATTAATTTGTATGCCTGAACGTTGACAGTGCTGTTCAGAAGCATTATGTTTTTGGGTTTCCCGTCTATACCTCCATACTTTAGTCCCATCCTTGTGAAAGCGATATCCCTGGAACGACTTAAAATTCGGCCCAAACGTTCAATTGGATTTCAAAGCTGAACTGATTAGATTTTCGTGGTCAAAGGTCAATGTCACTGTGGTGAATTCATACACAAATTGTGATTATATACATATTTTCATGACATTTCTTCAACAGCTTCACTACAGATATGAGTCTGGACAGAAATGGATTTAAACTGTAACTTGACTTCTTTTTTTGTCCAAAACAACTTATTGCAATGCGTTCACACTTTGGTTGGCTGCACTTCATCTGTTGCATTTCTGACACAGTAAGCCCTCAAGACATGTTGCTGCCACCATTGTCAGATACATGGAGCACTGGGACCTGTATTATTAAAACATACTTGCCATTACCTCTAGTAACCACAGTTGTCAAATCAGGCAGTGCAGAAGTCTGTGGTTTTATAACTTTAATAGACAACAAGATTGTAATAGCCACCAGAACACACTTTTGAGGGAGGGGTGTGTATTGATTGACCATCCTATCGTAAACTTTTTTCCTACGCCTCCTCCTCCTCCTCCTGGACTCCTCTTTCGCTCCTGCCCAAGGACTGCTGTGTATTTAGTCGTATTGCATATTTTAGCCTGCCATCTGGTCAGCCCTGCCTGGCACCACAGGGGGCCTCCCATCCTCTCATATTCATATTCCACTAGCATATTGTTCCCACTGCTTTTCTACAGCGTGGCCCCAGCACTTCTCGACTTATTTCCACAGAAGAGGCTGGCTAGCAAACTGCACTCCCCCCTCCTAATCGGCACCTCTTCCAGTTGTCCTATCAAGTGTAACCTGGAGGCCCCTAGTAGAGCAATTAGAGCGGCCTCCCTGCCCACCTCTTGTAATGAAGCCCAGCACATTCTGGAATCTATAGCCCCTTTAGTCTCCCCTAATGGGACATCATTATTGTCAAAGAAACAATGTAAATGGAAATGAACATACTCATTAGCCAGTCGCAGGGAGAAACCTTTGCTGCTCTCAGCTTGCAACTCCCGCTCCCAAGTGCACGCAGACACACACACACACACACACACACACACACACACACAAAGTTAGCCTCCCCTTTCAGCTTCTGCAGACTGCTGCTCCAGCTTGCTTTATTCCTCTGGTAGCATGTTTGTTTGAATGTGCATATGTGTGTACTGAATAAGACAATGTGGATGTTTTCCTCAAGGTGAGGGGGAAAAGGAATGAACTGGTTATTCCATTATTGGCATTCACTCAGTGTTTCTACAGATGTTAATTGTTCTGTGCACAAGTTTTCAGCCCAGTGCTCCTCTGCTCACCTGTCCCAGGGTACACCTGTGCAGCGGTCCAGGTCTCTGTCCCCAGCCAGCAGTGTGGACTTGGTTAGTGGGAGGAGGGGAAGAGCAGAACAGAGGATTCAAGACCTTGAGGAGCTTCTGCAACTGAAGGTAACTAGTTGCTAAAACAGATTCATTCCTTTCCTTTTATCTTGTCTACACTAATCTGTTTATCCCTCACTCTTCTTTAATGTAAAAGTCTTTTATTGTCTTTCATTCAGTCCATATCAGCTTCTTTGCCTTTTCTGTCTTGATCTTCTCTCTCAGTTTTACACACATGCCAGTGGCCGTTGACTGCCAGTGAATTTGAAATACTCAAAGATATAGTTCACTGAATGGCACAGCAGTGTCCAGCTGATAAGCTGATAGTTTGGAGCAGCAGATGGGTCTAATGGAGCCGCTTATTCCTGTGGCCACTATCTCACATATGATTGCTGCTATCAACGGCTGGGTTGTAATCGGTCTGCAGCACTGCAACAGTCGTGGTCTCCAAAGGGTTCAATTCCTCTACTGCTGCCACTGCCTCCTCCATGACCTTCCTTTACAGTGTCTTACATACAGTGTCTTATATACTCACAAACACACACACTGGTCTTTCTGTTGTTATGAGGAGACTCATTGACAGTGCATTCTTAAGCCTCTTACCATGACCCTGACCTAAACTCAATTCTAAATATAACCTTGAAAACAAGTTCAAACCCTTAAACAGACTTCGCGAGGACACACTAAAATATCAAAATGTCCGGACAATGGCTTCAAACATTTTGCCCACACCATAGAAGACACGTTGGCACAGTTATCACTGTTAGGACATTTACATTGAAGGTTGCCATCCTTACACAAACCTTACCCAATAACCAATTTATACAAACCCTAACCTTCACCATACCTCCATTCACACCTTACCTCTAACCCCAACTCATCAGGACCAGTCTTTGGTCCCCATGAGTTGTAGTTGGTTCCAACATGGTTCACAAAAAGATTCACACACACACACACACACACACACACACACACACACACAGAGTGTGTAGGCAGTGAAGCAGCAGGAGACGAGCTACTCTGGTGAAAATGGATGCAGCAGGTCCTTTTTTTTATTTTTTACCTAAAAGGAATAATCTTTATTAGCCTTTTAACCTTCACATGCTCATGACGTCTGAACATGTCTTTTTCTCTCTCTCAAACTCCCTACAAAAAAATGCACTAATTTCTCCCTCAATGTTTCTTTTAAAGTCTCAAAGTGTGACCTTCTATCTCTTATTTTATGTGTTTAGATTATATTTTTCACTGCCATATGCTTGTTTTGTTGGTCTTTCCCCTGAAGCCTGTTGCCAGTCTTCATCCTTTCCATTTTTAGATTGACCACTGAGGGAGTGATTATGCAGAGGTTACCATCCTTTGAACAAAGTCCCAGGAACACATTAGGCATAATTTTCTTGTCAGATCTGAGGTGTCTGAATTACATCACTATAGCAGACACCTAGTCAGGTGGTAATGCTCAACGTAGATTCAGATGACACGCTTGACTGTCTTAGTTAATGGTGCCATTTACGTGTCTGCCGGTTGAGGGGCATTTAGTAAAGGTACGCACAGGAGAAATCATGATTGCCAACTCACATCTTTGACCACATTAATGAGGGCATTAGTTCAGACTCAGGTATCATTTGGTGGTTATGCCCTTTGCTTGGATCTGGCATTGAGCAACATGGCCTCCTCCAGCCACTTGTAGTACAGTATTTCACTCTGTCCAGTCCATTGTTCTTCACTTGATCCAATCCAATTCTTTCCAATAGAATGCTTTTCAAATTGGGTACGCCAGCCTGTACCATTGACACGTTGACCTCAGTAGCAAGCAGCAGCAGACAAACAAACAATTCACATAATGATGGCCTCTTTTTTTCCCCCTTCCGCACACTTTCAAGTAAACAGTAGTTGTTGCTGTGTAATTATTTTTCAGCTTGAGAACGTCCACAGATGTGTATGCTGGCTGAGTAGGGGGGTGTATTGATCTGTGGGCAAGGGTCTGTGGCCTGATGACCAGAGCTGAGCTGCCCAGGGGAAGATCTATAAGGGGCCTGGGAAGCCATGATGTGGCTAATGCCCTGCCACTTGCTCCATCCAGGCCCCTCCATCAGTCAGCCTCAACTCTTCCTTGTCCTCCCCCAGCTCCTAGCACCACCAGTTAACACTGCCCTGGTCTGGCCCCTTTCATTAGAGCCATCTTTTTGAGAGGTTGGGGGCTGCTTGAAGGGGCTGAGGATGTCTTGCAGATGTCCTCTGTGAATAATCTGCACCAGGGAAAATCCATACTTGTCACATTGGCAGTGTGAACATGTATCAGTGTGCGCACTCCCGTTGTGGGTCCGGTGCCTGTTTGTGTGCTGTCTCTGTTCTCTTTGTCCTTGTTAATAATAACAGGGCTGAGGGCTCGCATTTCCCTCTCTGCAGGGCAGCCGTGTCATATCAGCAGTAAACAAGCTCCTTCCCTTCAGAAAGCACTCGACAACTCTCCCTAGCCCTGGCCACTCAAGCAGAAACCTGTCCTGCGCTCTTCCTTTCACTTTCCATTTTGCTGCGCCTTTTCACTTTCTTCTCTTTATAATTTCACTGTTCTCTCTCTTTTTTCCTTCCTATATTTTCTTCAGCTGCCTCGCTCTCTTCCCTTGCTCTCCTTCCACCTCTGTTTGTCCTGCCTGTTGAAAGTGTTTTCTCCATCGCCCTCGCTGTTAAGGTCAGTGTGATGGGGAGGAGGGGTGCCCCTGACAAGAAAAATCTATATGTTGTCTTCTCTTACTCCTTCTTTAAAGCAGGAGCCCAATCTTGCTGTGTTTTAATAGCTGTCAACAACAGTGGCAGCAGCACACCCTCTGCTACAACCCCCACCAACACAACAAATGCTGGTCATCGGTTACTCCAGTGAGAGAGTTTCTTTGCTGGCTCAAGTGTGTGTGTGTGTGTGCACTTGTGCCTTCTTGGTGGTCTGTGGCCCCATTGACTCGTCATGTTAATGTCATCCTTTAATGATGTCTCAGTTGCCCAGTGAGAGTAGAAGCACTTGTCAGGGAGAGAGGAGAAAAAAGAACAGAATCTGAACCTGCTGGTTTCTGTCAGGCAAAGGTGTTTCAGCTGTAGACCAGTTTAAATATGTAGGGACAGTGAAGGGCTTCTCATAGTTTCACTGCCACACTGCTGTGCCAGTGTACATGAAGCTGACTCCCTTCTTTATTTAACTTATCTGTCAGTTGATGTGTACAACTTTTGAAAAACAAAACAAATCTTGTCACTGTGCTTTACAGATGGAGGAGAATGAAGAGCTGAGGAGGGCTCATGATAAACGACGAGAACGTCTGTGTCTGATTCAAGCCAACTACAAGAGCATCAGAGACCAGCTGAAAGAGATGGAGAAATCCCATGGCTTGTGAGTGCACAGTTTAATTTCTAGCAACAAACTCCCATCACACAACACAAAAAATATAACACAAAATACATCTCAATGTTGGTGTACACACCGAACATCCTGAAAATGTGACCTGCGTACATATGGTTTCTTGCAGCAGCAATGTATAAGAGACATTTCAAACCACATAACTCACCTTGCCTTATGTTAGAAGCCCTTGTGAAATAATACAACCCCCTAAAACCTCTCACAAATAGTCTCAGAATAGTCTTAGGGCCTCGTTGCTCCCCACATGTTGTCTGACAAGACCTGAGTGCTGGATTTGGGGGAAATAGGTGGAATTCTTCCCTTTGCCTTTGAAAAGCTCATAGGTTTTTAAGCCTGGTCAACGTGGGCTGTTTTGTGCCAAGTGAGTGTGTGTGCTTCTGCGTCTCTTCATTAGGATGTGAGAACCAGTGGTTGGAGGTGTCTGGTCCTAGGGTGCAAGGTGTTTGAGAAGGCCTGTGGAGGGAGGAGGGAAGAAAGAGGGAGGAGGAGGGCCATTTCCTGCTTCAACCTGTCACCTTCACCAGAAATCACAGGATTTTACACAAACGTGCTGAAAAAAGTCATTAATATAGGGCCCTTCTCTTTCCATTGTCTCCCCCGGTCTTTTCCCACTTTTTTCAGTGTGTTTATTTTCTCTAACAGCATCTTTGAGGGCATTTTTAAATGTAGCTAAAGGTGCATATGTTTGGTGGCCACGCGGGAGCAAAGTGTTGACCCCGTCAGCTGTTTTCTCTCAGGGTTAATTAAAGAAAACAGCAGTGCAATGTGAGCCCGTGTGAAAGTGGAGTGAGTGTGAGAGCGTGTTCAGCGCCGAGCTCGACTCGGCTCATGTCAGCTCAGCGCGGCTCAACAGCATGTGTCTGAGACAGTGGGAACAAAGACAGAGAGCTGTACAGAGAGGAAAATCGGGGAGTCCACCCCAGATGTGCTTCTGTTACACATTTTAACAGGTTATCAAAGAAATGTTAGTGTACTTTTGTCAAAGAAGAAAACATGCATGTTTCTGTAATAAGACAATCTGGGCTGTGGTTATGAGTTGAGAGCTGAGAGGACCTAGATCTACAGTGTGTTGACTCAGTGTCAGTGTATCTGTATTTCATGACTGATTTGACATGAAATTGATGCAATAGGCAGCTCTGCCCTTTTCAGTCAGATCCCACCATGGCACCAGCCAGTCACTCAATGTTATGATCCTGGCATTCATTTGGCATTAAGCCCCATCCTCAAATAGCTGTTAAACCCACTGGGGTAATGCCAGCCTGAATGAGAGACAATAGAAAATGACTTAAATACTCCCATTAGTGCTGGGAAATCAGGGCCCTAACAAGTCAGTGGGGATAGGCGTTGAGTCTCATTGCATTTTGAGCTTGTTAGGGATTTCCCTGTAGCTTCCATGCTGTGTTGTTGCCTTTTCAGAAAGATGCGGGGGGTGTTTTTTTGTTCCCCCTTTGTGTGAAGGATAAAATGATAAAACACTATTCGTCTTCCTCCTTACCTGATACACACATAGGTCTGTAATATATATATATATATATATATATATTTATATGAATATATATATCGTACAATTAACAAAATGCATGATAGACTAACATCATTCTACTGTACCATTTAGTTTTCCTTCATTTAATCCTCCCTCATCAGCAGAATAAGGTATTGAACAATGTTGCTGTATGTGATGGCCAGCTGTTGAGTGACGTCACCCGTGTTTGTTATAATGAGTTCCGCCCTGGATAGAACTACCAGCCAATCACAAAGCACGCACAGCTTCCTTTGGCTCATCAGCATGCAGGTGGTGCGCAGTTGGCCAGTCCCAGTGAAACTACCCTGCCATTCACCATTACCACCATATTTTCACAAAATGGCATGAAGGAGAAGGGGAAAAAAGCCAACTTCTTATTTATATTAGAGAAGGGAAAAAGTTTTTTAATCAGACTGGGGATGATGGGGGTGAGCAAATAAAATTAAAGGTTATTAAAGCATCCGTACTCTGATCAAAGTTGCGCCCATAAACAGATTCCCCCTGAATCAGAGCAATTAGCCGTAGCGGCGTGGAAAAGTTCTTTCTATTTCCTCCTGCTTAATAATGGAAACTCGGATACCGCGGGGAAGGAAGCACTGAGGCCTAAAGTAGATAGCTCTCTCATGGCTCCATGTTCAACAGCTTTTAGATCCACCGTACACAAATTAAAATGTGTAAAGCTTTACCGTGACTTAATAAAGCTTCATACACCTTGCATAAGACATGCAGTTGATACACTGCACAACTTAAAATCACACAGAGAGCATTCAAATGGAGCTGTGGGTAAATTATCGTGTGCGATTACAGCACCAGGCAGTATTAAGATTGTTCAGACTGAATTCAGTGTGCTTGCAGTAGAATAAGTAAAAGTATCAATCTCTGTGACTATACAGTGAGATTATCTGTTAAGTAGCTTTGCACTCTGGGAAACGAACCCAAACTCACAGATTGCAAACTCACACAGACAGACACACGCACTCATACTCCCACATACATACACTACGAATAAGTTCAAGGGCTCCAAATTGCTCACAGGGGCATTAGCAGTATTAAATGAAAACATTTGCCGTTCCTCAGTAGCCTCCAAATCCCAGACACTAGGGTTTAACTAGTATTAGCGTAGCATGGCGGCGTCTATATAGCCAATAATGACCACAGGAAAAGGAGCCCTCCACAAATGCAGTGACCCTTACAATCCATTTCCACACATCTACCTCATTGATTGAGTGAAAATGAGAAACTGTAGTGAATGTGTGTGTGTGTGTGTGTGAGAGAGAGAGAGATAGAGAGTGAGAGAGAGACAAAAATGGTACTCGCTCCTCATCTGCTAGTTTTGCAATCTGTGGATTTCTCACTAAAAGCTGTTTTAGTTTGCAAATGAAAGGCTAATTGGAATTGAATGTGTTGGGCAAAGACTGATGGATGAGTCGGGTAGTGTGCAGGGATGCAGTTTCGGGCAGGAGGGATGTTGTGTGTGAGTGTTGAAGGGGAAGTCCAGTGGAGGGGGCTGCTACTGAGCGCAAAATGTCATTAAGTATTCATAAGTGAGGTGTAGACATTTGAATGACCTCGTTTGTGAGTGTGTTTTTGCCATTATTTACATTTGCATGGCACACAGGGAATGGTCCACTGCCCTGCCACACAGGCAGTGCCCTGGGCTTTAACAAACATGCATACGTGTGTACATGATTTGCCACTGAAATGTCAAAGTCAAGGCTGTTCATTTGAATACTGCTAAAGATGGCTGAATAACAAAACGAGAGTGAGACTAAGGGGTCTTGTTACCCCAAGTGAACTGACCAGAGGGAACAAGGTAATGTACAGTACCATCCATTTTCCCTTGTTAGTATGTTTGCTCTTCATGCATGCATATCTGTTCAATATGTTGGACTTGCTTCCCTCTACATTTTGCATTTTGCTCGAAGCATAAACACTGATCTTGTTAGGACCAGTAAACCTCATGGGGACCACAGCCCAGTCCTAAAGAACGTCTTTCTTGGTTAAGGTTAGGGATACGGTTTTGGTTAGATTCTCAACAATGAATTTAAGTCAATGCAAAGGCCTTATATTGATAACTTTGCAAACCTGTGTTTGTGTCCAGGCCCGGTGGAAGGGTGCAGCGTGCAGAACCGTGGCAGCTAAGACAAGAGAACAGTGATGCAGTGTGGAATGAACTGACCTACCTAAAAAACCTCACCAGGAAACTGTCCACTGAAAAGTAAGTCACCTGTCACCCAGGCCCAACACAGATTTTACCTGCATTGGAAATTTGAAACACACACACAATGCTGACAAGAACACAAAGCAAGATGGGACACATCACAACACAAAATGACTAATGGATACATATTGTTGGGAAAAGGGGTAGGGGTCTTCCAGCCAGGAAGAGATAGGAAAGCAAAGGTCCATGTAGGTTTGGCCATACCATTTGTTCAAAACTTTCCCCTCCATGTGTACACATATACTCACACACTCCCAGTGTCCCTTCTTGTTTGTGGGTGTTGAAATTTTGAGTGTGCCCTTCGTAGCTTCACAGCATCCACCTAGCCCTTCACATCATTACCAGCCAGCAGGGGCCAAAGCAAGATCGTTACACTGTGTTCTCATTTGTAAAATTGGCTGCCCAAAAATTCACACATAAAAGTGGAGGAAGTAAAATCACATTATCAGAATCCCTGGCTGTGTCTTTGTAAAATAATTGCATTTTTAATGGAACATTTATGCCAAACTGTAATCTTGTTGCTGATGTTATTAAGCGAGTGTCAATAAGATACTTTACATACTCGGTCTGTAAACCTAAGTGATTGTTTTAATGACAGTGTGACCTTTTTATGCAAGAGGTACTTTATTTATTTCTTTGATGCTTAGTTTTTCTTTCCGTCTCTCTCTGTCCTCCTATCTACTTCTTTTCGTCTGTCTCTGGGTGCAGTGTAGCCATTGTCTTGTTTGATCTAAAGAAGCCCCCTGTTACAGTACCACTAACACTGACCTGGTATAATACTACTCAAAGCTTGGCCTAAAGCCACAGTCTTCCTCCCCCCTATTTCCCCTAGCCTTCACCTCTCCTCACCTCTTTCCTCCTCTATCCTATGCCTCGGTGCAGTCCTCTTCTCCTCTTACTTGCCTTCCCAGTTGCCTCCCTCTGGCCCTCAGTGATGCTGCAGTAGGCTGAGGCCAGAATTCTGGAACTTGCCCCCCCTCCACCCCCTCTGCTCACCCCCCTGCCCTGTCCTCCTAATCCCAGCTGAGCTCATTATGATATAGCCCGGCTGCCTCTCTCCAAGCCTGAGCTGTCCGAGCTAATTACAGGCTAGCAGCCCCAGTGCCGCCGATGCTGCCTGTTAAGGGATGTCCATCCACCTGCCCTCCCGCCTGCCCGGCCACAACTTGAGCTGAGCAGAGCAGAGTGGAGCGCTGTATGGTCTGGGGCTGGGGCCTGAGGGGGCGGGGGGGTTACACTACAGTGAACATGCAGGGTCCTTGGAACTGACCTGCGAGGCAAACCACGAGGGATGGTAAGCGGCTGGCGTCTCTTCTAACTGTGTAACCGGCCTGTCCTCCGGGGTTAGTGTTGATCCCCTTCATGTGCCCCTGACCAGCTTCACCTCATCTCCTCAATTCACGCCCCCAGGACCCCTCCTTACCCGGGTGGCTGGTGCAAAGTAAACTTGGATAGGATCTTTACTCTTGGGCTGTTAAAAATCTCTCTGTTCCAGGGCACACATCTGTACACATGCACAGCTCAGTGTGTTAAATTAAACAAAGGCATACTGCCCCTCTCTTTTCCACGCCCTTCAATGGATGAAGCCAGCTTAACCAAACAGCTCTATGTTACTACAATGCAAAATTCTGTTAAGAGGCAGCAAAGAGGTCAGAAGTTGGTATATGACAGTAAAATAACAACAAGAGCTTCTGCAAGCATAACTGCCAGGAAACTCTTGGGGAAAGCAGTTATAGCTTGTTGTTCCGTTGACCGTATTGTAATGATTGTGCTTGTGAAGGTTATGCTAGATAAGTGCTAGCAATGATCCACTAATGGCTAATTAACTCCTGGCAGCTGAAGAATTTAGGGCCAAATAAAGACCCCTTATAAAGCTTTAAATGCCTAGTGGCAGGCTTTAGAGGAGAGATTCTGTTTAAACTCCATTTGTCTCTCATTTCTCCTCCTCATTGTCATGAGATTGCGCACAGATGCTCCCTATCACCTCCTTCAAAAACAGCACTTGTAAAACAGTGTCTTGAGGCCCAAATGACCATTTCCCAGAATTAATATTGCTGGGATAACTCCTGCTCAGTGGGTCCCAACAGTGTTAAGAGAAGGTTATAAGGCCCAGGCACCCCCTGTAATCTCTGCTCTTGAATGAGATGTTAAGGAAGAAGGTGAAACAGGTTTGTTTCTCTGCTCTTTTAGCTGATTTACTGACTCCCTGTGGCTCCGTTTCATGACTTGAGGATGCAATAAGTAACAAATTGTTTATTCTTCAATAACTCAAACTTGAAAATTATAGCATGCACCTGCAGCATGAATTTGTCAGGAGGACAAACTTTTTTCAAGCATGTCAGTGATCCACTGAAAGGATTTCCATGAAACATGATATAGCTCTGGTGGAAACCCATTACATTTTGGTGCAGATCAGGACACAGATCCAGGAATTTAATTTCACTTTCTTTAACATTGCAAGGTAGAGCATATTTCAAAAATGTTTTCTCAGGGAATAATCTATGGAGCTTAATGCACAAAATTTAGGGAACTATGAATTTATGAAAAACTCTTTAAAATGAAGTAACCACTTGAAATCAGTTTTCATGTATTGATGCCAAACAATCCATGATATCAACTTTTAACAATATTTCTATATTTATACTTTCATTGTTTATTCACCAAACATTTTAATTGCAACACAAAAACCAATCTAAGCTCTCAACCTTTAACCGTTTTTTTAAGGCAAAAGGGACAGAATATACTTGTGACACCAAGACCGATTTTGATTGAGATTTCCTGGCAAGTAACAATGTGCAGGGTGGGCTAGAAATTTTGCAGTGGGATCGTTTTATCTGCCTCATTACGCATCGGTCTGCAGCCCTCCATGTCCATGCTTGTTAATTGTTGTTAAAGGTCTGTTGGTAAAAAGAGGCAGGGATTATTTAGGCCTCATAAACAGAATAAACACATGCAGCGCATCCTCAGACTTAAGATGCTATGCTCAGACAACATCAAAGCATAAATTAGCCAGCGATTACTGGGGGAAAAAGCCTTTGAGATCATTTGCTCTGCAGCAGCAGTGAAACCTCCTCTGCAGAGAGTGACCATTATGGATGTGAACCTCCCCAGTAAGCGACGTTGACACTAATTAAGTTTAATAAAGTTTACCCTGATGCTTCTCATATTTTTTTAGTTTCATCTTGATTTGCTAAAAGGTATTAGAAGTAATGAGTCTGCCCCCCCCGGACCAGGGCTTAGTTGGAGGAGGGACACATTTGCTCAAACACACACACAAACAGAATGTTTTATTCATGATTAAAATTCAGACAAGTAATGTTTTTCCTTCATTAATTATTTGATAAATTAATTATTACGTTAAAAAAAATTGCTTAACACTTACTAATTTTGATGCAAACTTCAGTGCGCCTTCAAGTTGGGTCGGTCCGAATAAAAAGAGCAAATAGAATTAGAGAACAAAGGATGTTATTGGTTATTTCAAAGAACCAAATCTCATGAGTAGACTTCACACATTCAGTAGAGAATGTGCTAATAAATACATCATCCATCCATTCTGTCATCCATCCCTTCATTCATTCATTCACTCATTCATTCACTCACTCACTTCATTAGCTGTACCGTTTGATGTTCGTAGTGTGCATGGAGCCAATCCTAGCTGATAACGGGCAAAAGGCAGGGTGCAGGTTGCAGGTATGTCACAGGGCCAACCTAACAAATACCAGAATATTATGATTATAAGATGTTTAATTTTATATTAGGATACCTAGTGACCCATCAACAAGGCTATTAAACAGGGAAACGTGGGCATCCTAGGTTGATCCCACAAGCAGTTTTATTACACGAATGCCGATTCACCTCTTGTATCAGTGGCTTGTGGACCTTCCTCTTAAAGACTTACTGTTGCTGTTGCCGCTACATTGCCCACAGCTAAAACACAGCACCGAGCCATGTAAACTCCACCAGTCACCATTTCTGCTGACAGCAGTGGCTTATCCACCCAAACTCCCTCTATGAATGAACAGCCCTCTAGCTTGAGTTTAATCATGAGGGAATATTACACACGCAGACACACACCCACACACACAC